TTTTTTCTGAATTTCCGGACTTACGTTACGCACGTCGTATATGCAGGTTACGCCCATGTTCGTTATAAAGACGGGTCAATGACTTTTGAAGTTTTAATTTTCGAGTTAGAAGACGGGGCGGAACGACTTCTAACTGAAAGTCCGATGTTTATATTTTTTGTATTGCCTGCGGCCGGATTCCACTGATTGACTCCAGAAATAAACATTTCCTCATCGTGCGGGTTGACAGATCGGATATATCTCACCTCGAACCCAGAGGGACACTCCCACGTGAAAAGTTTAGGGTTGCTTTGCTAGCTTTAGGGTGAAAATCATGGACTTGGTTCTCACTATTTTTATCTTTCAAGGTGTATTTTAGGCTTGCACTCGAGGCCGGACGTGACAAACAAAGGATGTCAAGTCCCTTTTAAAGTGGTGTCTTATCATATGGGGTCAAATAAAGCTCGCCCAGATTGGTGTCATCCTTGAGGGGTTTGATTCAATGTTGCGACGAGTTCCCCGACCCGTTTACACCTAGAAGTCCCCTCAGACCCTCGTAAAACCCAACGCTTACCACATCTTCACGCAAATCAACGAAACCGGCCACTATAATCATGATAATCATCTCCTTTCAACAGAAATGCCATTTTCTTCCTTTCATTTAATTTTCTGTCGTTAAAGGCCGTCAGTAGTAAACAACACCGCCTNGAAACCGGCCACTATAATCATGATAATCATCTCCTTTCAACAGAAATGCCATTTTCTTCCTTCATTTAATTTTCTGTCGTTAATGGCCGTCAATAGTAAACAACACCGTCTTCAATATGTTCCACGTCCAAGATTTCCTTGATTAATATCACTATCCTACATATAGCCATTGACAGTAAAAATTTATAAAACATACAATTTACTTTCAAAAAAAGGTACTACTAATGAATTACCTTACAGAAGAAAAAGTCCATGACATAAATAAATGAATCTTAAGTGTTATATGATTGTATTGTGATGAAAATAGTCCAAATGTGGCTTCATTCTACAGTTAATCTGACATCGGACCGAAAATAAACATTACTTTTTTTGGACGAGGGCACCAAAATAGGAAATACTACGCTTTTACGCAACGAAATTCTTATTACAATTATTATCAATATTGGAGTGAGTTTATATTTCAAGTTTTTTTCATTATCCAGGATAGCTCAAATGATATCGATAAGGCACCGCTCATAAATCATGTACGAATGTACTTGCAAATAAACATTTCTCTGAAATTGTGTTGTAGTCAACTCTTTGGTAGGAAATTTAAATTTTCAGACAGTTTCTTGTTGCACTTTTGAAACAATTAATTAGCTTCTTCCCAATCTTTGTCTTCTGCGCCGATTAATTAAATTATAGACAGAGTATGAGAGGCGAAAAAAAACGCCTCATTAAACTATCAACGGAAAACTACCATTAGCTCTTGAAAAATAATTTCATCCTTTCTCACGGCGCACAGTTTATTGACAAAATGAAAGTTGGCAAATCCCAAACCTGACAATTTACATAATGGTAAGCATTAAGTAATTGAAAAATACTAAGATCTGATTGCAAGTTTCCTAAAATCGACCGACAACCTATCATTCTAGACAAATATTAAATGGATGAAATGACGTCTTCATGAACAAATATTATCCATGTAAGGTATATACAATAACAATCAAATTCTCACTTGAAATTAATATTTTTCGAGACTTGACTTCGATTAGTTCTGGTATCTTGAGCACAACAAAGGGAAAAAAATCTGGTCGAAAAAATGGCCTTAGCCATCAGTTATTTACTGGTATCCGTTCGTTATACTCTTATGGTTTTGTTGCCTGTGAATCTTGTTGGAAATTCTTTTGTTGTAGTTATCTTCTTAAAAATGAAGGCGGCGCGGCAGTTCTCCGACTTCTTGCTTTTCAACCTCGCCATGGCGGACCTCTTGTTTGGGACTGTAGTTTCGATCTGCAACCTGGCTTTCCACTTCGCTGGTACTGCCATCAATGATTTCTACTGTAAAATCACAGGTGGAGTTGTTTATCTCGGCTGTGGAGTTTCCGTGTTTACTCTGGCTGCAATCGCTATGGAAAGACACGGCGCAGTGGTTAAACCCGTGCGCGCAAGGGTTCGATTGCGCGATTTGAAAAGACACCGCAAAATTGTACAAATCATCTGGATAGTCGCCCTCGTTTTCGTCAGCCCAATTGTCGTATTTCTGAAGAAAATAGACGTCTCCGAGAACATTGTCGACTGTGGCTTTGTGCAAAATGATGGCATGGCGGAGTTTGGACGAATCTACGACGCTCTGGTGGTTCTTTTGCTGTTTTTTGTTCCTAACTGCTTTATGTACTGTCTTTACGGAAGGCTAGTTTACAAACTCTGGTGCGACAATCAACTTCACAGAAAGCCAAGACTTGCCCTGATGAACTCTCGCGATAAACTGACGAAAGTGTCTTTCGCTATCACGATGGTGTTCACAGTTTGCTGGGCGCCCTATTATTTGCGAACCCTTTTGGCTCTTGTCTTAGGCAGACGTATGTTAATCTTGAGTTTAGTCGTTTGTCGCATTTTTATTGTCGTCAATTCTTGCGCAAATCCAATAATATACACTTTGCAATGCACTCGATTTAGAAGGAATTTAAAGGGATTACTCGATTGCAGGAAAAAGGGAAGAAAGATCTCACCCCACAAAAAATTAAATAACCGACTATCATGATTTTACAGGAAATTCCCTGTCACACTGCTGTGCAAACGAATAAAAAAAGCACTGCCTGAATCGATCAATGCAAGACAGCTTTTTTTCAGTATGCTTGGAAAAGTCAATAAGGTGCTAACTTTCGACCCCCGCTATGCTTTAAGAGGTTGATTTAGTTATTTAGTGTCCGTGCGCAATGAAATTAATATAACTTAATGCTCAAACACGCTGGTTCAGTCCGCTAAATCCATATGTCTGAAACACTTTGTACTTTCCCCTTCTCACTGTTATTTATATCTCCTTCCTCAAAAAATATTCAAAGATGTCCGTGGATGCAAATATTGTTTTCACAATTTTTTTTCATTTTTCTTTAATCTGGTACCCACCAAGCCTTAGTGAGGAGTCGTTAAGGCAGGCGAAAACATCCTGCGAATTCAAAAGGATCTGTTTGAGTCCCTTTGTGAAACGTTTGACTTGTGTTTATACCTACTAGCATAGTCAGTAGAGGTCGCGCAGGTCCGCCCAGGCATTGCAATGTTATTACGTAATGAAACAGAAAGAGTGCACTATGGTGACAGCGCTTGATTCCCATCAATGTGACACAAGTGTTCTCTCTTCCGCAAAGGTTGGAAACTTTCGTTATAGAAAGCCAGTGTGCGACATGAGTGTAGGCGCAATTGCCCTTCACGTAACCCTAACCTACCTCGCACTCATATCGTTTAACGGATTCTCCCCGCCCGAAAAACCCATTTGAGTCTCTGCGGAGGAGAGAGACCCGAGTGTAAACCCTGAACCCTCCATCATTAGTGGATTAAGCGACGCTTGGTTGTTGCTACCTGTTCTTGTTTGGCGAGTTTTTTCTGTTTCCCTGCCTCCACAAAAACCAACCCTCCAGGAAGCACTAATACCTTTTTAACAAGTCCATGCTGGAGCGCTCTTCTGTGTTTCAGGGGTAAATCAAAAAGTACATTGTTACTTTCTTTGCAAGCCCCTTTGATTGCTTTGAAGTAAAATAAAGACAGTGCCCCACTGGAGGTGTTATCACAAGGTGGCTTTATTTCAACTTTCTGAACTTCCGTCACATTTCCACTTAAAACTATTTGGATTTGTTGAGCTTGTGGCGCAACACTCAAGATTTTTTCATTTGTGTTTTGTTACTCTTTGACTACCTTGCGCATTTTAGCCACTAAGATTTTATCTTCAGCTCGGCAACAACAGATCAGAACTGTACTAGATCATTTTCAAGCCACTGATAAAACGTGAGTGGCCCGTGGCAGACCCAGTAATGGCCTGATACTAAACCAGCTAAGTAGTCATTACCTCGCTACCATCAACACCATGTCTATGACCACTTTTCCTTGCACGCTTGTTACTGGGTCTTACGGCACTTTTTTTTTTTTCTAAGCGTGCAGATTTTCGTACACTTTCGATCGGAGGAAATTTTTTGCTTTTTTAATTACACCCTCCCCGGTTGGTTTCCGAAGACTCTGTCGGTCTCTGCCGGTCGCGTCCAGTCGGCAGTCGCCGGACTTTACCGGACAGCCTGCGGACACCGGATTGACAGCCAAATTACTTGCCGCGCCCCTAATTGGCCTTTTTTGTGTGCGCGACCGACCTTGCGTTAGCTTGAAAATAATTTTCGATCGACAACCAAAGTTTAATAGACTCAACTGAGTCTGACATTTGGTTCAAATACTCCATCTACAATGAGTGGAACTCGGTTGTCCCTTTTCAAGAAACTTTCTGGCCAAAGCGACTAGCCAGTGTTATTTCCGTAAATGGCTTTTGAACTTGGGTTGAGGAATCAATGCTTGATTTCTCGTTGTAGTCGACCTCACGAAGAAGGAGCTTCCTCACTTCATTCAAGCCCAAGCTCATCAACAAAAATCAAGAAGAACAGCTTCAATGCATCAAACCTTACGGCTTCTTTGGCCAGTTGGTCATTATGTTAAAAACTATCCACACTACAACAACCATAAGCTTATAGGCTCAAGTTTAGGTAAGCTTGCTTTCAAAAGAGGTGCGCCTGCTTTTAACAGAAAATTACCTGTAATTGAAAATGGCTTAGATAATTTCTCCATCGTACTTAATACAGTAGCTGCGTTTTAGTTTATAAAATTAGAGGATTGTCCAATTTTTTCCATATTTTCAAGCAACAACAATTGCTAGCACGTTAATGATCAGTTTTTGTCTTTGCCAATATTTAATGACCTTCGAGTGCTCTCACTGCTCTTTTTTTATTAATAAGTTCACTCGCCGGAGCGTTTTATACGCAGTGTATACGGCAGGTCAATAGCTAGCAAAAATCTCTCTATCAGTGTACCTTCTTTCTATACGAGGTTCATTTAAAGTTCACAAATTGAAGAAACTAGACTTCGTTTCAAGTGAATTTTTCTCAATATCTGTTGAGAGCTCTGTGCGCGCGCAATCGAGCAAGTATGACCCATGTCAAGTTGTTTATGACGAAACGATCGAAGACGGTTTCCATGGATTTGTGACAAAACTCAATCATTTGCTTCAGCTATCGGTGCGGTTAGCATTGAGATTCGGAGCAAGAGAATTGTGATATTTTTCACGCTCAAACCGAAGAGAAAATTCGCAAAACAGAACAAAACCAAACAAAAAAGCATAGAAAAAGTTTAGAGAAGTTGTTGTTTTAGTTCGGTGTCAAAAACCACAGTTATAAATCGCAATGGCATCCTGGCTTGGCCGAGAGATTGAAGTTGACAAAGATCACCTTTCTTCATTCCAACAAAAATCGAAAATACCAGTCCGCAAAGTGATTCGTTTGAACAACAACAGCGGGAAAAGTTCCTCATCTAAAGACGAAGCCGATAAAAAGCAGCGCATTCTGAGGGATTTCGCAGAAAAGCCACTTGGAAACAAGCCTCCATCCCGGATTCCGATCATGGTCGCTCGAACAAACAGCAAGACTGTCAGGGATAAACTCCCCAAGATCGTGATGGCTGCAACCGGGAAAAGACCTTTAGGAAGAGGATCAGGTATTGTCATAGTGTGGTAATGTTTTTCTTGTATTTCAGAGAAGATTTTAAAAAGTTTTAAGCTTTATAAGATTTTGTTGCACTTGTCACTTCCTTGATTCGGCGCATACTTGGCACACATTAAAAACTACTGTGAACTTCTTGACAAAATTTATCAACTTTCAAGGTTTTGATTTAATTTTTGAATATGGCTGCTGATATCTTTCTGATTGGTCAAGGGGAGGTCTCTGGAAGCGATTACGCTTATTTACGCGAGGAAGTGGAACTATTGAGGGGATCTCTGGATATGTGCAACTATCGAGAACAACTGTTAAGACGCGAGGTTGACGCTTTGAAAAAAGGTCAAACTTTCAAAAGCGATGTAGAAACCATAGTTCTAAGTTGTGAGAAGGGCCATAAGCAGGAACTTAAACAGCTTGAAAAGGGACATTCCGAAATAGTAGAGGAACTTCAACAGTGGGTTGAGGATGGAGACAAGGAGAACAAAACTTTGGAGGAGATCATTGAAAAAAACAGTGATGAAAATGTGAAAATCTTGGCTCAGATCAGTGTCTTGAAGAAGGAATTGAAAGCTTTGAAGAGAGAGAACAACACTCTCCAGACTGAGTTGGAAACAAAGAGCACGGACTTGAAGGGTGTAAGGTTTCAAGTAGACACGTTGGAAGCCGAAATTTCTCGCTTTAAAACCAGCGAGCTGGAGTTTAAAAGTCTGAAGGATGAAACTTCGAGTCTTATTGACAAGCTTGAGATTCAGCTCAATACATTCATGTCCGAAAGCGCCAGAATAATTTCTGAGAAGGACCAAGAGTTAAACAAACTCAGTAAAGAAAAGTCGACGGCTTTTGGCCATCTTAACCGAAGGCTAGCTGCGTTCAAGAAGGAAAAAGCCAGAATCACCTTGGAAAACGATGAAGAAAAGAAAGAACTTAAAGATAAAAAATTGAAAATTATTGATCAACTTAACAAACGGCTTGTCTCCAATGAACGAAAACGCCATAATTATTTCAGAGAAGGATAACAAATTAACAAACAAAACGAAGCCTTTTTCCGAATCGAAAAATTGTAAATTTAATTATGGCAAATGCCTTTGCTTTCAAAAGAAGAAGTTGATATTGTGTAAATTGTTGTATACTTGCATGTGAATGCAATAAATCGTGTATAAACTTATTTGGCTCCATTTCTGAATTTCCCTCTTAACAGTAAACCCATTCATTATATGGCTTGCACTGTAAGCGTGAGAAGAAACTAATTCTGTGCTGTGATTGGCTATTTGAGCGGGTAAGAAGACCTGGCTCTCATGCCCGCTCGGGATTACCCACTCTGTCCTGTAACAGGAAACACAATAAGTTTATTGACTAAGCCTTTCGGCCAAGATGGTTAGATCTTGGTCTCCTTTTCTTTCTGCATGTTTATTTATGGACCTCGATTGCATCTCAGCCCATAAACTCCCGGCAAAAACAACTTGCCCCAATCTGCACCTTTGCTACATGAGTATGTTACTTCAGAGGGCCAATAAATAAAATCAACCAATCAGATTGCTCCATTGCCGGTTCAATATTCTTTAAATGGCACTGTTCCGAATTTTCCGGAAAGATCACTCTTGAAGATTATCTGGTTGTTTTATGATTTCTAGACTCCTCTTCTTTTTCTTCCAACTCTCTTTCCATTCTGTTTTGTTTGACATCAGACGTTAGTATATGCCTAGTCTGTTCCTAATAAGAACTGCGCACTTGAAATTTACGATGTTTTTCCAAACCATAGTTGTGACGTTTTTTCTAAACATTTTCAGCATGCTCGAGCGGGCTCTTCCTACGTTGGATCCGTACTGTAAAAACCTAGGGCCAAAAGTTTCCCAGTACACTACTGACCCATAGGCGTAAGGGCCGGGGGGGGGGGGGGG